TTGACGCGTTGTGCGGAAGGTGAGATCTCCTCTTCCTCCTCCTTCGCCACTCCTGTGTATCTTCTCCTCTTTCAACTTTCGATCGCATTCCATTTTATGCGTCGGCGAATCTAGGTTATCGCTTAGACGACCATCGCGCATCGTCGCGTATCTATATCGGTTTCTGCACCTAAGATACGAGCCGTCTCGAAATGCTTAGTATTAGTAATGATATGAGAGTCTTAATAAAATTGAGACATTACAGCTTTGAAAAAAGTCCTTGTACGTTCATTGTTTTTATACATTTAAGCCTGACGCCATCAATATAAGATTAATCTTTTATCTCGATTCGATTTATTTTTTATCTCTTTCTAATTCTAAGAATTAAAAAAAGATAAACATAAAGTTAAACTGAGATTAAAGTTAATCTTACATTATGGAACTATACCGTTAATTGTATGCTTGAGCTGAATAATTAACGAAGAATATACATTTGCAGCGATACATGATATATATTCAGATAATTTTCCAAAAGTACAATATATTGCATAATGAAAAAAATTCTGTCGAAAAAGTTTGAAAATTTCTCGCGACACGAAGGTAGAACGAAAAGAAAGATTTCTTTCACCGAAGATATTTTTTGCTCTTTTATATCTTCTCAGGTGGTTTTTGCCAGAATCCTCGTCGACGTCGACATTTTTACTCAATCTTACAAAATACCTGTTCGTCTCTTTGCTCGGATACGTTTGAGGAAAATTCAATGTTCCGACAGAACACTATTCCACTGATGAACATCTTATTTGAAAAACATTAAGATTATTATACTATTTGATGAAGAATCATTATATGTATGTCGATATGTACATCTTTTTCTATTTTTTAAATTTCTAAAGATAATTAAATGTTATTTAAATGTGGGTTAGAATTCAGTAACTCCTAATGATAGTATCGAAATCTCAATTTTTTATATGTAATACCTGCGCAGTGATACTAATATCATATCGACTATAGTTAAGAGTTACAAAATCTTCAAACGCTGGACGCTAATTGTAGTGAAACTTTTGATGAAATTATATCTTTTCACTTCTTTTTTTATTAAATAAATTAATCGGAACAAAAATCGGTTAATATTGAATAAAAATAAAAAACACTTTCAAAACAACGTTACATATGTTACCGATAACTATCGACTAACTTTAAATATAATACTTGTTGCGTTTTATTTATATAGTTGCACACTGCTATTTAAAGTGGTGGGCCAATTTACAATCAATTATAAAGATCTTATTTAACTTAATAAATGCTTTTCTCCTTTTTTTAACACAATAATTCTCGGCTATTTGTATCAGATTAATATCTCCACTTACTTTGAATCAAATTATTTGACCTGCCCGACATATAGTTCAACTACGCGGATCTTTGGGATAGCGATGGCTGCTTGCAGAGCAGTGAAGCGGTGTGAAACGGGCGCAAAGGCCCGAGGAAACTTGAATTAATAAAGCAAAGCTTATACGAGCAAGAAAGAAAGAGAGGCAGAGAGAGAGAGAGAGAGAGAGAGAGAGAGAGAGAGAGAGATAGAGAAGGTACAGGCAGCGGCCGCGCATGTATTTATAGATCGTCTTGCAAGTAAACCACTTCGGTTGCGTTCAATTACGCTTCTTCCGCGTCGTTCCGATATGCCCATTTTGGCCCAATCTCCGTTCTCTATTAAATCGATCGTTCGACGGCTCAATTTAAATCGTCAGCGCGGTTATCGACCCGAGGAGAAAGGGTAGAAGACATTGCGAGTGCACAAGCAAAAAACATAGGTATCTTCCTATTAAATAAAGTATACAATTGATACAAAATATTACAATTTTATAGAAAAAAATGAGTAAAAAATTTCTAATCATCTTGATCATGAGAGGATATATCTATTTTATAATTTATAAATCTGATTTTAAAAAAATCTCTTTATAAAATGTCACTTATATTCTGAGAAAAGATGACACTTCATAAAAGAGATTTTAAGCACGATGTGTGTACTGTATTATTCGAATTTACTGCCTGAGAAGTAAAAACTCATGTTTTGAATTAATGAGGATTGATGAAGACTGAAAACACTCGCCGTGGAATTTTTCATTAAATTGTGAACTATACATTTCTTTTTCAACTAAACCTACAGTCTAAATGTAACGAATTTAACATACTTGGTTACAACCAACGAGTAGTCAGTAGCGTCAGTAGACTACTTGTAAACCAAGCAGCCAAAGTTTAAACTATCCACTCCTTGGAGACTCAAGTATCTGACCGAGTGCTCAGCCAAGTGCCCGCGGTGAGTGTATACTCGAAAGCAACGAGAACCGTACAGAAAGGAAAACTTTGTTTTATCCTGAACTGTTGTTGTAATTTAAGTTCATTCCCGCATAGATCTTCAACCAGGTTTGAACTTAAAGAAGGAATCCATTAGTATATCATAGAATAATAACACAAATATAGAATAACATTATATTTTGTACGTCATTTTGCAACCTTCGAGCGCTTTGCTAGTTTCTCGCAAAAGACCTGCGAGAGCAAAAGCTTGGTGAACCACGTACTTGAGAAAAGCTCGGAAGCTATATCTACGCGAAGGAAGAAACAGTCTTCTAGCCGAGTGCATGATTAATGCCTGGTAAACTTAACCGTCGTGCCACTGCTAACGTGTATACATTATGACGCTGCAACGTCAATGTAACGCGAGCAACTCGCTGTTCATATGTAAGAAACGGCGCCGTTGTTGAGACGAAACAGTTAAATTTGACTCTGCATCTTACTAATATATATTTAAAGAAGCTAACAAACATTTCTGTGAATTTCTTTTATTTTCTCCGAGTATATTTAAGGAATGTTGCAAATTCATAAAGAGAAAGAAAGAGAGAGAGAGAGAGAGAGAGAGAGAGAGAGAGAGAAATAAATTATTTCATCTAATTAATTAAAATATTCTTGTTTTATCTTCTTTACATCTTTGAAAAATTTCCCTTGTTATTCACGTAGATATTAATACTATTTTAATATAATAATATTTCTATTACAAATATTATACTAATATTCAACTATTTATCTGTTTTTAGATACGAAAATATATTCATGACTTGTTTACTTCACATGACTTGTTTCAACGTTATTATATAATTTTATGAGTTGAAAATTAATTATGATATAATTCCTTCTAGTATATTTAATGACATAAAAAATATCTAACTCGTGACTATCTAAAATTAAATTACACTCTCGCGAAGTTTCAGTGGACCTCGTGATGACGTGAAGATTTCTAGCACGACAACAAAACCAGTTACTACCTGTGTGTCGTACGAGTAATATGATACACCGGTCATGATAAATTTGTGATTTAATGATAACGTCAAAATGGCGGTTTATGTCGTGATAAAAACCAATTAACTTCGCGAAACGTTGACCCGAGTAACTTGTCGTACTCGTTTGTAAAGGGCAGCGCGAAGCGTTAATTAATTAATTCCACAAAGGTTGCCTCCTTCGTTTTGTCACGGTGTCGCAACGTCGCTCTCAGTTCCTAAAACGGTTACCTGAGATTTTACAATTATGGTCTCGATCTCATCAGATTACGCAATTAATTTACTCCATCGTAAAACAGAATAGGAATTTTAATAGCACAACTTATTGTCGTATATTAGATATCCATTACGTGAATCGAATCTAATGGAAAATCGAGATATCTGGAATTCCATTTTTATTTCACGGGGGGAAGAAGCTCACATCATTCACTATTAAAGAAGTGAATACCAAGAAGTGAAACTCAGCGAGGCGCAATGTTCTTATACTCTATCGTGATTATTCTCGCGAACGATGGCATTTAATCTTCGCGCGAAATCGAAGAAGCTTGTAAAGCAAATCGCGTTCGAGGTCTTGCTCGCGGGACACACTGTTTGAAGATTGATGGTTTCGCGCGAAGAAGGCATTAGAGGAAAGAAAATAATGGATAGATATTGACCCTTTCTATAGATAAAAGAGGCTTTTACCCCCTCGGAAGTTCGCAACATTGTCATTAAATGTACATTAAGATCTAATGTACCCCCCCACATTCAATCACTTTCAATTTAATTCAGTTTTCTCCTTCCGTTTTTTTTTTACAAAAGAATTTTTTTTACAAAAGGAAAGAGAACATAAATCTATTTGTAAAAATCTTAAAAATCTTGAAATCTTTTAAAACAAAAAATATTTAAGACATATTTCTTCATCAAGCATACAATTTTTTCATCGTACAGTGGCGTTAACGAAATTAGAAAATACTGACTTGGTTGGGCGCCAATATCGACTTCTAGAAATAAACATCAAATTATCGTGTTGTGGAAAAGCAATTAAAGAGAAGTATCCGAGATATGGAGAACGAAGTTATAAGAACGAAAGATGGAAATCCGTGTTGAAGTTTAATGGATGATTTTTTTAAAGTATTTCACGCAGAAAAAATGCAAAATCATAAAAAATACTTATAGAATTTCGATTAAGCGAAATATACATATATTGAGTTAAGAAGTCTTTTTACGAGTTATCTCGGTTTTTTATCGAGAAATCACAGTTCTATACTCATGGAATAATGGCTCTATCTTAAAAATGGCAAAAGATCATTAATCAAAATGGCACATATTTAGTTTAATAAAAGATTTCTAAACAATTTAAAAAATATGTTTCAATTATCTATATGTAAAAAGACTTTTTCCTTAACCCAATATTATTCTTTCGTAGAAAATTCAGTTTGATTAATGAATTTTTATACAAGTTGTACAAAAATGCTATAATTCATACGAATTGTATAAAAATGCTATAATTTATGCAGAATAAATCAGGTTGATTCTACTTATATAAATTCGCTAAATTTAAATTCCTATTTTGTGTATTTATTCTACATGTATCTGATTTCTAATTAGGTAAAAAATAATTTCCTCCAGCAAGACAATTGCACTATCTAACAATAATTAATACTGATCATTTGCCAATGCTTCTAATAGTAATAAATGCATTTAACTCACCGGTCTTCATCAAGATGAGAGACGTGTGAAGTAGAGAGTTGTTGTCACACATCGTTGAAAGAATTACGCGAATAAGTACGAAATGTACGGACAAATCTATCGTACAGCATGACGCACAGAATTCCGGATCTCCGAGAGAATTGCAGACAAAATTGCATTATGTTGTCCGAGAGATCGTATCCAACTTTCAGTCCCTCGAGAGCATGGTAGATTCGCGTCGGAAAGACGGTGACGTTATCAATTTAATATCCAATTACATGCGCCGCGTCTATGCTGCATTATCGACCATGAATTATCTGGATACACTGAAATCAAAATTAAAGCACAAAATAAAGTACTAATTAAAAATGCAATATTAAATTTTGCAATACCTCCTATTACTGAATAATAGATACATTTTCTGTTTTAATAATACATGTATATAAGAAGAAAGATATAATAACATAAATAAATATAAAATAAATAAATATATATATGAACACATTTAAAATAAAAAATGGAAATATATTATATTTTATATAAGATGTATATATATATATATATATATATATATATATATGCATATATATGCGATATATTATATCTTCTATTTCTTCTCATATATACATGTTGAGTTTGCTAATAACAGAATGCGTTAATTACAAATATAAAATCCTTGCATATTATTACGCATAATAATTTGGCGTTATATGGAGAGCATAATATAAGAGAGATAAAATATCATATCAATATTATCGCGAATAAATGAAATACACTATATGAGATAACACGTTCTGATATATACATAATAGCGTAATAGCGATATAGAAGTGTACTGTAATTGAGTACAAAACCAAATTAATTTAGTATTTTGCGGTGAATTGTTTAACCTTTATCATTTCTCTTGTGTCGAGAAATATTTCGAGAGTAACGCAAATGCTGTTTTCTTATTTTATTAACCCGCTCGCTTGTGTTTAACCACGAAACGTTATGTGCAATACTATACAAACAAGGTGCATGACGTAAATATAAAACGTGCACGACTTTCGTAGCGTAAAATGTGCTTGGTATAAACGTTGACGATAAGCAATATAGGCAGTGATAAATACCACGGACTTATATGCGAATTTATACAATTCGCTCGTAATAACCGATTGTGCATGAAAGAGAGTCCGAAAAAAGATATTAATCCGTTATAACCTTTTCTTGAATTCAAACCTCGCGAATTGCAATCTTGCAACACATGAAATATGATGATACATAAACACTCGCGTCATCTTAATAAGCATTTATCTTAATTACCGTTTGATTAGTGAGATAATTTATGATTAACTTTCTATATCTTCACATAGACGTGTTCACGCGAATCTTTTTGAAACTCATATATTATTATTGCAGAATGTGAACTTTTGATTAAAAAATATGATACTTTCCGTTTATTTACGTTTTTTTTTCTCGTTATGCACGAAAATGTCTACATGTAGATATCCGATAGCTTATATCCCGGAACAATGTGTAAATTCCGAGCTGGACGCAAGTGTGAGCGCGTGAGACCCGTTCGCATCATAAACACGTCGCGGATATGGCGCAGGTGGACGCTACACGTGCGTCCGAATGATGTCATTATGCTCTTACTCTATCAGTGATCTTTCCATGTTTGGTATTTTACAATGGCGAACATGCCCGCGGAATAGCTAAGTAGTCTCGTGTGGACGTCACACCGAGAATAAAGGCAATCTTTTATTATCGACTAAAAAAATGCGTGTGCCGTGACTTGTTTCGCTTGAGGCGTGTATTTATTCACGCTTATGTTAATTGATTAAAAGGAGTTATTTATGACATTCGTTGCCATTTCGTAATTTTATAATGATAATAAGTTCTTAAGGATCATGTTTTATTCAAGATAAAAATTTTTAATCTAAACATCTTTAAAAATTTTGGGAATTTTACACTGAAAGAGCAATTTTTTTAATTTTGCTAAACTATCAAAATAATTAGGTAAGACGACAAATTGATTGCTAAAATATTAAAAAATTTTGCAACATTGCTTATCAAGATTTCTGTAAAATTATTTTAATGATCCGACAAAATTATTTTCAGATCTTATCAAATTTTTAGATTCGTCAGCAAAATTGCTAGTGTAATAAATGATCTACTATGAGTCAAATCAATTTACAATGAACATTATCTCAATGAAAACTTAATATAGGATAACATAAAAAATAGCACAAAAGCGGATTAGTGATCGTTAAAGTATAGACACAGTTTGAAACTTTTTGAAAATAAAACGCTAACGCTTTAAAAATAAAGAAAGAAATATTTAGAACGCCACATGTACGTCGCATCGTAATCCACATGGTAAATCGACGCATTGTTCGTGTAAATTTTAACATATGCGTTAGGACCATGAAGCAAAGTTGCAAATCCGCAAAAAATGCTGAAAAACGTTCTGGAAACCATATCGAATACGCGGACGGGATTACGATTTATGCTATAGTCCGAGATACAGGAAAAGGCCCGACAAATCTCGTGCATTCTTCGGGATCGTATATCATCGCCGCTATCAAAAATCTATCGCGATTTATGGACGTGACGTATCCGTCAGACGGATACGATATAGGCGCGTATAGAATGTATAGATTTCTTTTTTTTCTCCGTAAGCAAAAGTATGCGCAAGCAGTTGATTTATTCTGCAGCTATATCCATTGCCGCACGTTCGCGTCCATGACACGAAAATTCATCGTCGCGTCGGATCCGAAACGCGTTCAAATGATGAGGTACGAGTTGGAATGTTGTGGTCCATCCACACTTATTGGGATTCCAAACCGATAGACCGTCCGAAGGATGTTTCTCGCTTTTCGTTTTTCGAAGCTGAACAGGCGCTTTTGGAGCAACCCTATTGATCCCTTTTCACGATACAATAGAGTTTCCTAATGGATACACGGATATTTGGCGCCAAATGGATAAATAAACTAATGGGCGATGTGCCAAAATATGTTAGATTAAAATACAAAGTGTCGCGTAGAATATTCAACTGTTCGATAAGCGATTGACGATGACCAGTATGCTTTCCATTCGTGCTAACATCGATGCCTGCGGCGTGGCGGACTGTCACGTCGCGTCGTGTCGTCTCGCGGCCAGGGTCAACCACTTGTAGAATCCTGGCAAGCGTCTATGTGGCTCGCGGTATTCGACCGGATACCGTGCCAAAATCTCACGCCATTATAGCCTTTGTTCCACCGTCAATGACCCCTTGAAGCTCCCGCATTCGCTCCCGCCTCAGCGATCTTATCCGGTGAACGCCGTAAATGTCATTAAACGAAGCTGTTAGCTCATCACGTTAACACTTTGACTATCTTGTCGCTAATAAATGAGTTTGTAAGGACTTCCTCAATCAGAAATAACTTAATTAAATATTTATAAAGATATGAAAAAAGCAGAAAATATTATTTGTATGATAGGTATAACGTGCATTTTTTTCTTAAAAAAAGAAATTCTACCTCTATCCAACATTTAAACTCACTTTACACTATAATTTGCGTATTATAGTATACAATAAATTGGGCTATAAGTGGGAGCCTCTCAAAGCGCTGAATATATATATAATAAATGATAACAATTCATTCATTCGATAGCGCAACATCCCAAAATTAAACCAGGGTCTACTTCTTATGAGGTATACATAATAATGGATTTTTTCCGGAATTAGCTTGTTAAGTCTAATATCTAACCTTCAGTGGAGGATCTAGATGTATCCGGATCTACAGATCGTGAGTCAATCACACCAAGCAAATCACTCGACGCCTAACTACGGCACGACGCAAACAATTATAGCTATCTGAGCGATTACCAGTGTTTCTAGCTCTGCATACTTCACACACATTCGTACATTTTCCAGCTTTGAGTTTTTCAAGACTCACGCGAAATTAGCTTGGCAAAAGCAATAGCAAAAATAATGAAGTTAAATCTGTGATTGTACTATTATTTGAATTGTAATCATTTTAGTTCTGCGTAGAAAATCGATATGGAATATTTAATACAAACGCTTATCTGTGACTAAATGCTAAAATGACAGTTTAAAATTTTGTAATGTAACGAGGATAAAAGGATCTCGTGAATGTATAATATAATATTTTCTGCGTCATTCGTAAAATACTAAATCTATCATGATTTCAATTATAATCATTTGCCGCTTGATGCATAGAAAACTATATTTAATACAAATGATGCTTATATCTGTGACCAAGCAATAATTGACAGTTTAAAAGATATTTATAAACATAGCGAGGATAAAAGGATCTTGTAAATGCGTTCCTATGATATTCGCAAAACGTATTATTTACATCAGGTCACAGTATTAACGAAAATCGTTGTCGAATCGTCACGATAGGCCGCACGGCGTACGATAATCGCAGAAATAGATATCGTTTTCGTAGTATATGGCGTAGTCGACCCGGGGTGCTAGAACACGCACGCATGATAGTGCGTAATATACATGCATACCGTGTGACACGTGTGCACATGCATATGTGTACGCGTGCCACGATGATATACACGCAAGCCTGAACAACGGGCTCTGCATTGCGGAAATTCCAGAATCGCATATATTACCAATGTTAATTCATTCCCTTTATATATATTCGGCCATGTGTGCATTTACGCGCATTTACATGCGCCGTACACAAAAGGGCCTCGCGAATTCATCACGCAGCCTTTCGGCGGAAAAGTCTTTCTTCGTTGAAACTGAAATCAACTTGTTTTAATAGAATTACATTTTATAATTCCAAATGTATCACAGTTTTGAAAAACACTTTTTTTTTAATTTTATAAATTCTCAGAGATTGTATACCTTATCACAAGTACAAATAACAAAACACAAGATATTAGCTTTCTTTTGTTATTATAGCATACATATATCAATGTCGCTATACACGCGAAAGATAAATCTAGTATTATCGCATCGGTGATTAGCGACACGGCGAACCCATATATTCTTCAAACATCGGTTTTCGCACTTTCATCATGATGTAATTAGTTCCTTCTTCAGTAGATTACCATCACATAATTGAACCAAGTGCGAAGATCTTGTTCGCAAGTAATAGACCGCGCCGATATAATTAGTCCTGTGCAAGTCACGTGGATAGATTTTATAATCGCGAGTAAGCAACAGGCTTCAATTTCGAGATCCGTTGGAGGGTCTTTATACGCGATGAATATCTCTCTCTCTCTCTCTCTCTCTCTCTCTCGTAGGATAATATGAAACGATAAGTCCTCTATAAAGAAAGGAAAATCCCGATTGAGAAATCTCTTTGTCCTCTGAGAAACA